AGGTCAAGTTGATACTTCTACTTTTACCAGAGTGTTTTTAAGCTGCAGTATCTATACTTCTATTTAAGTAACAAATGTGTGAACTTTTGACACCACTGGAATAAAAGCACAGACGTCTTTCCCATCTACAGATGCACAAAATTGTTCTCTTTTTGTCGCTATTTTAGCTAAAACCGAGTCAATTGGGGCATCGACAGATTAGTCCTCCAGCGCAGCAGTGTGTGTTATGCCCCAGGATGTCCCCTCTGACTGTTGTCATTACTTCATGTCCCGTCCTAAAAAACCCTGCTGGCATGCCATTGGTCCGACTCGCTACCAGACAGATGTGTTAGTGGGAGTCTTTTAAGATGGATTTGTTGTGAGACTGAAAACTCAGATCTTGCAACAATCTAGCTTGCAGCGCAAGGTTAAGAGCCTGGGCCGGAAGTTACCTTTTTTGGCTACCAGCCACAGAAATTTTTACCAGACATTTTTTTATGCTTAATTAAAGGTAAACAACTATGAAAAATGCTTTAGAAGGGTTCATGAGCTTCTACAGAATACACATTAAAGTGATGCTGGGTTACTAGCCAAATTATTCCTATTTATGACTGCACCTGCACAATGGGAGCTTTATTTGATCTGGTGTGACTAATATTTAAAAAAGATACAAACAGCCACTGATGGTCTCATTTATTTAATAATATATAATTAATTAATCAATATATAATTAACTCATATAAAATTAACTGTATAACTGCTTATTTATCACTTTTGCATCCATTCTTTCAGGTTCATGGCAGTTTTAACTTTATACAAATAATTAGATTTTATACCTTATGTTGCTTTTCTATGCTGTTTCATTTATTTATAGTAATATTACTTGATCAAAGCTTTTCTAACACTGCACTCTATTAAATGAATAATAAAAGCCGGGAAGATTTGTGCTGATATCTTATCAGGTTTAATATTGGTATGGATTAATTCTCAAAGCTGTAATAATGCGTATCGGAAATGAAAAAGTGTCAGGATCCACCTGATGACAACAATAACGTATTTAACAGAATCCACACCATATTTCACTGGAATGTCAAGGTCAGGCAACTATTAAAAAACATTTTCGCAGAACATAGACTGAGGGCTCTGAGTCCTCAAAAGAGGAAAAAAAGCAGACAATCACCTCTGCTTCCTCTACTTCCCCAATTCCCTACATATAGCAATCCTCACCATGCATCCCCTCTGTTGTGACAGCAGACAGTTGTGTACCGGTTGTCACTTCGTATTGAAATGTCTTTTTTTTTGTCTCTTTGAAACGTCATCCTCCTCATATTTATTTTGGTCAGTTACAGCCTGTCAGTAAGAGCCATGTTTTCTTTTTAAAAATACAGGGAAAAAGAGAAGAAAAGACCAAATGGTACCTGTCTGGTCAACAACACACAATTGATCAGTTTTGTGTTGTTTTGTCTTATTGTCTCCATGCCAACCTTGTAAGTAGATTGACAGTTTCACCAATTTCATGCCCTGTATGCTTCACTAATACTACATGACACCACAACTCCCATAATGCTCTGCTGGTGGGTCAGTAAAGACCTGGTTCCTTTGTTGATGTTCCTTAACAATCCTTTTCAAAATAACCAAAAGTCCGGAAACTAACTGCTTTCTAAATGCAGCTCTGTTTGTTTAGTCTGTGCATCTGTGACCAAAGAGCATAAAAATATCTTTTTTTTTTTTATTATTCAGCCCAGTGTAGGAGTTCATCCCAGCAGCAGATCAATAATGTTACTAAATAACAAATTTAGTCTTTTTTTGTATTAAGAAGTCTTTATTTATGAATTTGTCTCTACTATAAATAGAAAATCTTAAGTTGAAAACAAAGTCGTATTCTTTGCTTGGCATTTTTAAGGTGGGGCGCAAACATTCAGAAAATTATTATCTTTAAAACAAGTTTTTTGTTTTTGTTGCTTGGAGCTGAAACATTTTTGGACCTTAGAAATAGAAAGCACGCAAAAAAGTTCAAACATCATCAGCCAATAGCATAATGTTCAAATTTTGAATTTACTTTTTATTTATTTTTGCTCTACAAAAGTTCTTGAATGCTTAATTCATGCTGGAAAGGTAAAAAAAAAACTGTTTATAGTACAGTTTTTTTTTTTTTTTGCATATTTAACTGGAAAAAAGAGGAGAGTTGCCTTGAATAGCAGCAAAAAATGTGCAAAAATGTCTGCACACCTCTGATTTACATGGATATATGCAAACGTTAAGCTTCTGGAATATCCTTCTCAAAGCATCAACCTCAACTTCATAGAAAACAGAGAAAGCATTTCCTAAAAGTTTGGACTGTCAGGAAACCGACCCATTTCTTGACCCAATTCTGCTAAGGACATATGGAAAAAGAGGTGGAAGCTGGTTCTGATGGAAATTTGCAGTGACACTGTGTTGCGTCTCACCCCTGCAGGTCCATGTGGGAACCTCCCATCAGGAGCAGAGAGTTGTGGGATACCTCACTTGCACGCACCTCCACGCCATAGAAGGTACAGTAGATGCTTGTTGGTTCTGATTGTCTCCTATCCATGTCTGCCTCCACATTGGGAAATTTAGATGAACGAGTGCAACAAAACCCTCTATCTGCTGTTCCCATGGCGACTGCCTCACGCTGGTTTAGGCGTCACAGACCTATTTAAAGCCTCCGGTCAATGCCACACTCATTTTTAACCAAAGACACAACCCTCTCTCTATTGCTATTCTGGGCTTCACCTACGCTTATTGCATGTCTAAATATAGCAGAATCAGGGCTGCTTCTAAAGATAAACCAAACATAAATTCCCTTTAAAGTGAGAGGGGTTTTAGATGGGTTAGGTAGTCAGAGAAAAGGAGGAAAAAACAGGAGGGAGACCCGACAGCTGAATCTTTTCTGCCAACAGGGAAGTACACAGAGGGACTGAATATATAACTGAACATGCACAAAAATTAATAATTTAGTATCTGACAGCAGGTTCAGTGAGTTTTAAGGTGAGCAGCAGAAGTTTGTGTGTTTTCTTCGACACACCTGAGAGCTTCTTAGAATGGTACTTGTGAAAAAAAATGAATTTCTAAAACTTCTCCTGACTTATTTTTATTTTTCCTTCCCCTGCCTCAATTTATCAACTGCAACCCCATAATGCAAGACTATTTTTTCTTTACCATACTAACATTTTTTTCTATTATTACCCTATTAAGAATTTACACATTCTGTTGAAATAATTTTTTCATGCTATATAAAATGATTGTACATACATGTTTGTTTGAATATTGTGTTTTTTGTTATTAATTTTATATTTTCTGTCTGTCACTAGGGTTAGGGTTAGGGTGGGGTTACCCTAGTTCAGTTTGTTGGTGGGCATTGTTTAAATAATTGCGTTTTTTCTTTACCAATAGCATGTTAAATTTTGTTACACAGTGAAAAACAGAAACAGACTGGTGAAATTTAAAGGATCGTTTTTTTTTTTTTTAAGGATATTGTAGTGTATTTTATTGTGATATATGATTTACTGTAGGTGACATTTTTATTGGTTCAACTGTTGATAACTTTGGGGTGCAGAAACTTTCTCTAAGCCAGATTGGGGCCCAGCAAGAAGAAATTAAGAACCAACGTTTGAATCAAATTTTTATTTGCCAGAACTTTTTTTTTTTTTTCAGAATGTGTTTAATCTAACTGATTAAGAATTGGTGAGATTTGAAAAATAGATAATCGGAGGTTATACCTTTACAATCTATTAGTGTTGCGCCTATGCACTTTCTTGGCCCCAATACCAATACCCGATACCTGGCTGTGTAGTATTTGCCGATACCGATACCATACCAACACCATCTGTTTGAAATGAATGTGTAAAATAATTGCCATCATGGCTTTGTGAAGAAGGAAAAAGACTAATGCAAAGTGAATCCAGCAGAACTTTTTATTGCCTACCTGGAATGGGTGACAATAGTTGAATAACATTTTGGCTCTCAAAATGGTATTGGTGCCATATTTGTCGATACTCGCCGATACTGATACCACCATTTTAGTGCAGTATCGGGGCCCCGCCCAATACTGGTATCGGTATTGGTGCAACACTACAGTCTATATCAGTCTGTAGATGCTAAAGTTATTGAGGAAGTCCCCCACAGCAAACAGCTCTAATGACAAAAGGTTATCTTTTTGGAATAAAAAAATATATATATTTTTCTCCTACATCACAATTACTTAACATTTGTCATAGAAAATTCTATTAAAAGCAGTAAATGTTAGTAAAAGTAAAGATTTATTAATGCATTTCAAATTATGCTGTTAATATATTCATTGGCAGAACAATAATCATAAAGCTGGTGCGTGGTTTGTATTGTCTAATTGATTTTTGTACATTTTTGGGGGCGTTTTGGCAAATTCTTTACATCGTTTTTGCACATACACCTCTTAAATCCCTTGTCTGCAGTTAAATCCTCATAGGACTGATCACAGAATATATATAAACATTTTGTACAATTAATAAAGTAGTTTCCCAGCTATCTTGGGACTTCTCTTATAGTGATTTGACAAAAGACTCTGTGTCGCACCTGCATATGTAATGTGTCTGCTTTGAGGATCTATATAAGGAATCATGACAGGAGTCAAATTCAGGTAATTAAGCTTCTCATCTAGGATGCAGGATGTTAACCTAGAGGCAAGTACAAACAGTGAGAGCGGCTGTCATTTTAAGAAAAATGCACTTTCCTTTCCTAAACAGGCAATATTTGAATAGTGAATTTCTATATTTTTTATGTTTATTCACAAAAAAACAAGTTGAGCAAAAAACGTAATTTTCGGAAAAAAAAATAAAATAAAATTGCAGCAGGTGAACTGTTTCTACCAGCTATGCCCATAGGAGGATTATGGCCACTTAAAATAAATATATCAATTGATAAAAAGGAAGAACTTTGAGTTTTTCTCTGAATTCTGACTTTATTGCAGAAAGGCATCTAAATACAACTGGGAAAAATCAGCTTCAATGACAGAGATGTCGGTGTTACAGGAAATTAACCAAATTTCTGGAAGAATGTGTTGGATATTTCTTACTTTTTATGTGATTGGGCGACCCAACCAATTTGGTTATGGCAGTTAACTACCAGCTTTAGACATTAAACCAGCTGTCTTCTTTTATTCACCTTCTACTTGTCCATAAATAAAATGGTTATTTGGAGGGAAAAAGGTCTTATTTCTAATATTAATATCAGAATCCAAAGGAAAAGTAGGTAAAGATTAAAAAAATATAGTCAGAAATATGAGCAACAAATCAGAAACTTTTCTTTTTGGAATTTTTCTCAGTGGCTTGTATTATCCAGTGTAGATTTAATTATTCATTTTTTTTTTCAGTAGACATAATATGAAGGAATATGAACTTCTTAGAGTGACCCAGCCAAAGTCTTTTAATATAACAGATACATCTCTGGTGGAAATATCCGGGTGATGGCAAGGAGGACATTCAAATATTTGCCAAGATCTCACAACCAAAGTAAAATACCAGAGAAAACTTTTAGAAAAATCTGGTCAGCAAATACAAAAAGGTTTTTGTTCCCTTAAAACAACCTATCTGTTCTTCTGTCTGTCTCATTTTCTATCAAAAGCAATTTTCTTGGTTGACTGGAAATAATTGAAACTCTAAATCACTGAGGATGGAATTCATTTTGAACATAACTTTAGGTGTTGACACATTTCCAGTTCATCCACTGAAATAAGCAGCTGTTCGAGCCTCAATGATTCATAGGGAGGAGTCCACCTCCTCAACATTTCTTTGAAATTTAGAAAATAAATGATTGACTAAAAAAAAGATTATCAAGGGCATGTTGAATGGAAACAAAAATCTCTTTAAAAGAAACTAAACTTGTTAATCTAAAGAAGGGGTGATTCAGGAGGCGGCTCACACTGTTTGCAGCCCTCTGAATGATTTTTCTACACAAGGCTATACATCAACAGCATTACAGGTTCTGGTCGACTAGCACGTTAAATCAATGCAAATGGGACACAGACAAACATTTTTAAGTCTACTTTTTTTCTCACCAAAAAAAGACACAGAATAAGTAATCTGAAGCAGACTGCTGTGACTTTCTGCCTTTTTTGGATTTGGACTGATTGATTTTGTCAGACAGACCTAATCTGGATTTAAAAGAAGCCATCAGTTCCATTAAAGCTCCAATGAAGCACAATGAGCTAATTTCATTACATGTAGATGTTTTGCCTACAGAACCTGAAGGCAACTCAAGAATGAGCAGCAGCTTTTCATCAGCCTTTAAACCTTGAGAAAAAAAAGCTGATTTTTTTCACTCACAAGAGCAAAAGTCATAATTCTGACTTCTAAATTTTTTATTCCATTCGATTTTTTTTTCTGTTCAAACACATACCAAACAAATTTACAGCAAACACACCTCCACATTCCTCACTTTCATCCATTTTTTTAGTACATTTTGATAAAACGCACACACATAAGGGTTTCAGATGGAGCCGAGCTGCAGGCCAGAGTAATCCAAGCCAAAGCCACCTACTCACCCTCCAGTATCTTGACACGTCTTTGTTTCTCACACCTTCCACTATTCATCTGTTCTCTCGAATGCTCTCCACCTCCCCCTCTGCTCCCCTCTTCTCCATCTCTAACAGCAGTTCATAAGATTTACCGCCAGCAGTGAACAGATGCAGCAGACTTCAGTACTGAGGAGCAAACCTATAAAAACTCTAACTCCTTTATTACGTAGGAACATAAAAAAAACAAAACAAAAGCATTTAAGAGCCTCTGGATGAGCTTGTTTTAGCTACAAGTGGATAAACAAACTGTGACGTATCTTTGTGTTTACATCCAGGCGATTCATCGGTCCGGTGCGAGCAGCTGGACCTCCTCCTCCAATGGGGGGCCGAGTTTCGGCAATCCTCATCCCAATCCCCAGAAGGAGAGAAGGTGCTGGAGGACCTGGTGGCCTTTGATGTCATCTTGGGAGACCTCAACTTTGATAACTGCTCTTCAGGTATGCAGACCTGTAGGCCATGAACCAACATATCGCTGGTTTGTTGTTCAGTCCTGTAATTATTACATTATAGCATATGAAGTGTTATTCCAGGCGGCTTCATGTTATGGTTTTCAGCTTCGGTGCCATTTAAACCCAGGCTATGGCTTAATAAATTTGATCATTACAACAATTTTGTTTTTTGTTGAGCTTACATCCCAGAAATTAACATCAATTGCTATCTGCCATCTTCAATTATTTCTATAGATATTTATTCAGATCAGTTGTGCTTACTGATAATGGAACATTTCACCATCAACCATCGGGCCAAGCTGTACTCACTTGTCACACTTGATCCTTTTTTTCAAATGTAAAGCCCTTGCATAGCTCAGCACTTTAACTGTTTATGTTATAATGACAGATATTAAAGCCGGGCGTACACTGTGCGATTTTTTCAATCGTAGCTACTGCTCACACTGTTCGACTAAACCCTGCGGTTTTAGTCGAACAGTGTGAGCTCACAGCTCACGATGTAAGTGCAGCACAACGCTTTCATGCGATCTATCTGCTCACACTGTACGACTAAAAAAACCATGTCGGATTCAGCTCTGCAGTGAGATGGAGCTGCTCTGACTCGTCTATCTGGAAGCCAAACAAATAGAAAAGGAATATGAAGCTCACTAGAGTAAAATGCACTGCCTTGGCAATTTGTACCATTTTGTGCTGAAAGCCCTAAAAAAGAAAAAGGTGGCGACGTATTTGGACAAAGACATGGCTGGGCAAACGTGGCTAATACGGTCTGCCAATTTGACAGAAATAACTCCATTTTACTCATTGCATCCCTGCCATGCTTCTGTGTTTTCCTCTGAGAGGAAGAAGAAAAAGAAGAGTCCTTGTTTGCGCACAGAGCGATTTGCCCAAGACGGTCAGGAAGAATCAAACATGTTTGATTTTCTCCCGACCTCACGATTCCTGATTGGGAGGTGGTGGTGAGAGGCTGATTGCCCCTTGTTACCCCCTGTATGCTACACGACAAACGATGCATGATCAGGCTGAAAGTTGGCCCAATCGAAAGATTCGCGCACGACTAGAAAATCTCCCTGAAAATTGCCCAGTGTATGCCGGGCTTAAGAGAGACTGCAGTGGCTGCTGCAGCTTCCAGCCTGTTTGTGTCATGTGACGGTCACAGTCGGCTGTACTCACACAGCTTTCGTTGTTATAGAGATACAAAGTTCAGAAGGGAAAAAACAACAAACAAAAAACAAAACAAAAACATTTTAAATAGTTCCTTGTGAAAACAACATCAGCAGAAGCAAGACAGAGGATTTAATAAAAACTTTTTTGCTCATTGATTTCTTATTTTGGTTTTGGTTATTTTTCCTCTGTATACATTATTTTACTCTGACTCTATAATATCAATGAGATGTTTAGAAACAAAAGGTAATGTTCATTTAAACAAGGAGCAACTGACGGTTCAAAAGTTTTGGACAATTAGAGGTTTTGGAAACTCCCTCCTGATGTCACCTTAAAATAAACCCTGCTCTACTCTTTACTGGTCTGAATCTGGACCACATATACTCTTAAACGTGTCCAGTAGAAAATTATTTCTTCCATTTACTCTCAAAAGACTTAAGTAAAGGATTCCCCTTTGCTGCCATCTACTGTTCACTAAAGGTAATAATATTATCATAAAAGGAGCTGCAGGTTTTCTGTGTTTTACAAGGTTTTAATGCTTTTATAAAATCTGCATTGTCTGTGTACCTTTTGTTCTGTAGAAGACAAGCTGGAGCAGCAGCACACAGTTTTTACTCAGTACAAGGACCCGTGTCGCCTAGGGCCAGGGGAGGACAAACCATGGGCTCTGGGTAAGAACACAACCACACAGCTTTACCCAACATCAACAGTGATTTCCATGACCCCTCAAAGCTTATAAGACATCCTAAATCCCAGGTGTTGCTACACGAAATAGGCTTAGAGCAGAACAGACTGCAATCTGCTTCCTCGGGCTAAATCTGGATATGATTTAAAATACCTCCAGCACAGCAGGGCTGATGCACGGGCATTAGTGACGTAAACATGGGGAGGGTTTTGGTTTCGATGTGAAACATTATTTAGGCCAGCTGTATTTCAGGGACAGTGTGGGCAGGACTGAGTGAAAGGGTTGTTGCGAGGAAGGCTTATTTATCTTTTTTTTGTGGCAAGCTGGGAAATAAAACAGATCTGTGCTTCATGTGTAGCTGCTGAGAAAGAGAGCAGAGACATTAAAATTCGATGGTGAGGATTATCCAAAGAAGACATATGTTAACAGTTGAGATGCAGAAAACAGCAACAGGAGGGTCAAATCTTCCAGCTGCAGAGATGTTACAGTTTGTTCATTATCATGGTCTTATCCTGCAAGGGAGGGTTGACCTAATCAAAATCAGCAAGCTTATGAGACAACTGGATATCTTAGACAAATAAAATAACAATATGCAAGAAACTGTGAAAATTTAAAAGATTGTCTGATTTGATTACACTGTAAATTAAGCATAAAGAAAACACTAGCTAGTTAATATTAAGTAAATAAAATCAAAATGATTGAGCAAACTAATAAAAGCATTAATTTCTAATTAAAACATTATCTGATGACAAGATTAATACTAGATCAAATATTTTATGTGAGGTTTTCATAGTTGCTAAATAAATGAGTTAAACATGAAACCAGTTCTAAGGTAAAGTTTCCACAATAAAAATCAATCCAGTAAGTGTCTTGTTACTAAGCATCTTAACCCATTCATTCTCAATGTCAGCACATTTACGCAATAATATGTTATGTAATAACTTTGTATTTAATGCCCAAACCCATTGTGGCTGGTGAATTTGTTGTTTAATTCAATTCAATTCAGTTTATAAAGCGCCGATTCACTCGTCATCTCAAAGCACTTTACAGAGACAATTCAACCAGATCATACAGTCAGATTGGTTAAAAGTTTTCTATCTAAGGAAAACCAGTTGTTTGCATCGACTCATTGACTCGAATGCAATCCCTCACACTAAGCATGCTTGTAGCGACAGTGGAGAGGAAAAACTCCCTTTTAACAGAAAGAAACCCCCAGCAGAATCAGGCTCAGTGTGAGCGGCCATCTGGGGTTCAAGGAGACAAATGCAGACATAAAGAAAGAAGCAGAGATACAAAGGTAACTGTCAACCAGCTCCACAGGCGGCCCCGTCTTGGAAACACACAGTCAGGCAGATGAGCTCGGAGTTAAGATCTGAGTTTATTTAAAAAAAAGCCTTCTGGCTGTATATCGCGTTTGTGAACACATGCCCAACTGGCTGTGTGTTACATTAGGACAACAAATGAAAGGGTAACTCAGGCCAAAATCTTGGTCAAACAATAATTCTGCACATATATGTAATAAGTGTACAATATTTTTCATTCAAAATATTAGAATTTATAAAAAAGAGAAAAAAAATCTTTTCAATCTCTATGTTGGTGTCTCCAAATTTCAGGAAAGCTTACCATATCCAGCCTGTAGCAGTGGAGCTAATGTCCTTTCCTCCAGCCTCCAGTTTCTGGCGTCTTAAAGTTTTCTGTAAACTCAGAGAAAGAACATTGCAGAAAGTCTGTTTTGCAGAGTCTTGTTCTGAGATTACCTCAGCTCCATTTCACTTTGGCATTCAGAAGGTTCTGATTACTGCAGTCTGCCATGCCTTGCATCAATGGTGTCTCTCCAATATGGCCAACTTGGAAGCAATGGCAGAAAAGGATGAGACAAGCATGAAGCAGCTGCTTTTTCCTAAAGTACGGTGGTAGGCAGGACATGTACCTATGGGAGGCCTTGTGATGGTCCTGAATTATTTTAAAGTTGACCAACCAGGACATTTGTTCTCAATGTCCAAAATTAATATCATGTTTATGGCATTATAACCCTTTAATTGTGCATTTCTGCAAATTCTCTTTTAATGGGAATGTCTAAATTTACACCATTGTATACATACGGTAAATGTTCACAAATGCAGTATTGTCTTCAAATTAGATTTATTAAAAAAACAAAATCAGAATGAAAAGATTACAAACATTGATTATGTGGTCCTGGATATAGTCATTCAGACTGGGGAAATTGATGCAAACATATGTTTCTGTGATATGTTATGTTCTTATTCAGAAACAAACAGAAAAATAAACACAGGAACAGAAATTGGCTTCTGGTTAAAATGAGGAAACTTGGTTGGAACTACTGTGAAGGAACATGCTTTTTGTGTTCAAGTACGACACAGAGTGTGAATGATGTCAACATTTATTAGCTCAGGGAAACTAAGGTCATGTTGGACATCTACAAAAAAAAAAAATTTCTACAGTCATGGGATAAACAACGTCACTGCAGGATGTTCTTTCTCCTTTTTGTCTTTCCAGTAGTTTCTAAATGTCTCTTTCACATTACTGTAGCCATTTGTTGAGATTTGCTGACATATTTACTCTCGCCTCACATTTTAAGTTTTGAACTTTGAAGTAGGGCAACTTTACGCCATTAGTTGAGCAAAGAGTTTAAGTTGATATTCTAACTTCTACAAAAGCGTTTTTAAACAGGATTTATACTTTAATATACTTTAATAACACTTTAGACACCTCTGTTTATGTCACATACAATAGCTTTAATATAAACTAATCGTAAATGGCACCAAATTGTCTCACATGTAGTACTTTGTTTGTGTTAAATATGCATGGACTGTTCATGTAGAGAATTACTTAGTTCAAGTACTTAGTTCATTAAATTGCCCAATAACTAAAGTATACAAACCATTAAGAAGGGATTTGCTTTTTGGGGATTGAACTACACATTAAACTGTGGTTATGCAGGTGGACAGCAGTAAAAGAAATACATAAGTTGGTAGTAACCTGGTCCGTTGTAATGATGCATGAGATAATTTAGCAAATTGATGGATCTGTCGATTATTTTTTTCAATTAATTGATTAATAATTGGATAGCCGAACATTCCCTAGAGATAAGTTTTTTTAGAGAATTAAACCAGATGAGATTAAAACTTTTCCAGTTGAGGAGTTCTGGATAGAGCATATTTACAGACGAAAACATTTTTTTTTATCTTACATGCAAAATGTTTATATATTATTTTACAATTTCGGTATAATAACAACTCTAAGTGAGTTGCTCAGTCAGCTAATGGCATGTTTTTGAGTCTATATACTCCAGTTAACGATTAATCGATTTCTAAATTAGTTGACAATTATTTGAATAATCAATTAATTACAATTAATCCAAATAATTGTTTCAGCCCTACATAAGATCATGACCTATATACAATTAAAATCAAGGATAAATGGAAGAGAACTGAGATAAGTTCACAGCCTAGGCATTCTGACATTTCTTCAGGTGGTGAACTATGAGCACAAGTTAATTTAGTTTCAATGATATGACCTGAACTCAGAATAATAATTGCTGATAAGGGATCCAGAAGGAGCTATTCCTCCCTCCTGAGCAGCAACAGTTGCCTCTTTAAGGTCACTGCTTGCGTCTTTGCTTCTTGGCATCCATGTCAGCAAAATTCTGAAACCAAGCAGACCATCAAGAGCATTTTATCAACAACACCTGGCTGCTTCTAGAAACCCAGATGTACATGTTTTCCCTCCAATGCTACTGACAGTCTTTAAAACCTTCCTTTTTCCATTGACTGAGTATCAGCACTCTCTCAAATGAGCTGCAAACAACTTCCACTCTGTGTAGAAGAGTGTTCCTGCCTGCAATCTCACTCCTCTTTATTCCAGTTATCGGAAGATCTGCTGTTAGAGTGAAAAACTGCTGTCTGCACATCAAACACCCACTTTTCATTAAAGCTCTGAGCACTCATGAACTGACTGGAATCTCTCTTCATATGGAGTTGTTTCCACTGCATTATCTAGCCGAACAGCCTGACAGTGTTAGAATCATTTTTGGGTGCTCGTCTCTCCTCTCACCATCACATCTCTCCACTGTACGGCAGAATATTGGGGTCTGATGGTTTTGAAGGCATATATTGACCCTTTAAAATGCATCCTCTCTTGTAAAGCTGTGCTTTTAGAAAAGCTATTCTGGAGGTAAAACGTTGAACTTCGTAGAGAGGGGCAGATTGTAAAGCATGCTTCAGATTGATAAAGAGGATGCTGGGATGGTTTTTTGTTATGCAACTACGGTGGAACATATTGCTTTGTCTGTTTGACTATTTGTTGACAGAATTGCTCCAACTCTGACCTGGATTTTAGTTTTGCTGATTCTTTAGTTTTCATTTCTAGAAATGCAGATTGGGGGTAATAAAAAAATCAATTTGATTATATACTTCCAATTATTTGGTTAATATTAATCTTTTGTATTAAATAGAAACATTTGATAATATGGGGAGGCTTCTTTAACTGTTTGAAGTTTAGTTTTTTTACCATATTGAACCAAACTACATTTATTTATACAGGAGTTTAAAATGGCATATGGCTGCCCTTAATGACCATTATGCCCAACATAAAGGTAATTAAAAACAAAATATTAAGATGGCTCGATAACATCGGAATAAAGAGTAAAATCACTTGCAAACTCAGATTGTGTTTAAAGCTAAAGAATAAAAGAGTCTTCTTACAGAAATTAAACATATTAACTGAAAGAGTTTGTCTCATCCAGCTCGTTTGAGACCTTTGAGACCTCAATAGAAATGCTTGATCACCCTTTAACCTTTAGCGGTGTAGAAGAAACCAGCAGCACTGTGTGAGCTGACCTAAAGGAACGAGATGGAAACAGGGTGGACGATGGTTGGACAAAGATACTAAAAGCAAATGAAGGGAGTTTAGCTATGCTTCCTTCACCAAACCATACAGATCTGATTGCTAATTGGTTCAAAATGTCTTATAACAAATATAACAGTCTAATCAGTGGCTTTTTAAAACTGTTAATTTGGATCAACTTTTTTTTATGCCAAAACCTATAAATGTTTTAATGAAATATTTCAAGAAAAAGATACACCCTTAAGTGTCTGGATTTGTTACAGCTGATTTTATATCATCTGCTTTTAGGTCATGTCTTTTATTTTTTAATCAATATTTTAATCTTTGCAGAGTCTGGTTCAGGTACATAGTATCAGTTGACTTGTTTGATGCATTTAAAACATAACTCTGTATTGCATCCCTATTATTTGTGTGTCATTTTGGTGGTTTCAGTTCTGTAACATTAATAGTCCTTCCAGTCATAAGAAGCATGTTGTTAAAGTTAAACTATTACCTTAAACCTAAATCTGCCAGGGACTTGAATAACTTGGGGTTTGAATGTGCATTAGAAGATTGCCTGTAAACTTAAGAACCTGCAAAAAGAAGTGATTGCATTTTGAAATTTGAAATGTGTATCAACCTTGCAAAGGTTGAACCTGGATTAGAGAGACATGTATCTGTATTTATTGAATGGCATATTCTGCAGGCACTCTGTTGGATCCCAGTGGCCTTTATGACGAAGACGTCAGTTCACCTGAAAGTTTACAAAAGTAAGTCTCACATCCATTTTTTAGTCACAGTGTTTGCATGTATTAAACTCTGCTAGCTTGATGCTGGGTCATACAAACTCCTATTATAATCACAATGTTAATTTTGTGGAAGGAAGTTTTGGTTTAAAAAATATTACTGGGATGTTTTTAAAGTTATTTGTTCCAGGCACAAGTTAACATAATAGATGTTGTAAAAGTCCTCCTGCGAGTCCACTGAGGTGAATTTGTTTTTTTTTTTTTGCAGAGTGATGGAGAACGAAGAGGGGAGAAAGGAGTACCTGGTGTTTCCTCCCAGTAAGAATCAGTGTCCTGCCAGTGGTCAGAAGGGGCGGAAAATCCCACTGAAGGGGAATGGCCGCCGGATAGACTACATCCTCTACAGCGACGAGAGCATTCAGCAGGACTGGAAAGTGGTACGTTTGGAACCAATAAGGAATGAGAAAATGTGTCCCTGCATCATATTTATTAGCTTCACTGAACTTCATTCTTGTTCAGAAACTGCCATTTTTGTTACAGTGCTTTTAATTAGCCTTAAAAAACATCATTACACTAGTAGATTTTACACATTATTAAACATCTTTTGGAAAGCAAATGTTTGTGATAAGAAGGTGAAAAGAGAAAAACTGCAGCAATGTATTTCCATAAGCGAATTAAAGAATACAGTGTACATTTGAGGACAGTCTCGAGTCTCAGGAAGTAAGATATCAGTTCTAGAATAAAAGCTATCAGATTTCAGAAAATAAATTTTCTCATAAAAGATGTTGCCAGGCTTCAGGAATAAATCTAAATTTAATTATAAAAGTTACATCACAATAAAACAGCCAAAACAGCCAAGTTACATCACAATAAAACAGCCAAATTCCCTCCATTTCTCATCATTTATTGTAGGTGAAAGCAGATTGGTCAAGCTGTAACACTAATGGCAGACAGCACAGGGAAAACTGAGATTAAAAATCATATATTACATTTTACAGTTTATAGGAAAGGAATCTTGGATGTCTCTTTCTTTTTGTAGAAAGGGATTGTAACCTTTTAAAATGTATTAAATGTTTAGATTTATCACATTTCAAAAAAGGTTGCTGTCAAGCTGAGTGTATTTCTTCCAAATTACACATGAATCTGCTTTGTTTTAGGAGAGACATTAAGCAGTTCTGTTTTCTGCATATTCATGATATATTAACCATGTTTCAGTAATTTTGCTTCAGCTTGTTTCATTTATTTTTCAGGAAGGCAATTATGCTTTTTTTGTTGTAATTTTATTGCTTTTAAGTTAAGCTTTTTCTGCTAGCTTACAACTTTTTCAAAGAAAATGCTACTTTTTCTAGTTTACTATTACCTTTTCTAACATGGAAAGTATTTAAAGATCAGTGTCTCTATAGTCATATAGCAGATGTCTGTTCACACTGAACCTGGTTCTGCCAGAGGTTTCTTCCTTTTTAAAGGGAGTTTTTCCTCTCCACTGTCACTTCATGCATGATTAGTAGGAGCTATTGCTGTCAAGTCAATGAATCGATACAATCAGCTGGTTTTTCTAAGAAATTTTTTTACCAGTATGACTCTAACCTATTAAATAGTCTCTACATTTAGATGATGTGTTGTGAATTAACGCTATAAAAATAAACTGAATTAAATTGATTTTAACTTGAACCCTTCCTCCCACAGTAGATATACAGTGGGTACGGAAAGACGCCTGACAATAATGAGCAAAGGCTCTGAATACTTATCAACAATTGATATTTCAGTATTTCTTTTTTAATGAATTTGCAAAAATGTCTAAATTTTTGTTTTTATCTGTCAAGATGGAATGCTGAGTGTACATTAATGAGAAATAAAAGGAACTTTATTGATATTAGCAAATGGCTGCAATGAAACAAAGAGTGGAAAATTTAAAGGGGTCTGAATTCTTTCCGTACAACCTGTATGTGAGGTCTACAGAAGATTTATGCTAGATGTGGAAAAACTACTGTACAACCAACTAGAAAGTCCTGCAGCTCCTTAAATGCTGCTGTCAGTCTCCCTGACCAGTTTTACTTACTTTTTGTCAGTTTTGGAGAGATTGTGCCAATATTCTGCCTTTGAATAATAAAATCATTCTAAAGTAACCTAATTTGTTCTTACATAAATGATGCAAATGTGAACATGTGAGAAAAATCCAACACTTTAATATTAATCAGATTCTCTTCTGCTGATGGTCGATGTAAACCCATGAGTTGTGGGCTGTGTACGCTTATATAGCTATGTGTTTGCAGCTTTTTAATGATAATTTTGACTCAAAAAGATGTTTTTTTTTAGTAGATCCAATTTCTTAGCTCATTATCTGCCATTGCAAATGGGGCCTGTGCTCTTGATTAATCATGAAGTTTTAAAATGACATGAAAAGAATCTATAATAATAAAAAAAAAATACAAACAATGTAAAACTGCATGTAACCAAATGCAGAAGCAGAATGAAAGTTACTGTAACTGAGTATACGTGGGACTAAGATCAATTAACGATGCTATTAATGCTCGACATGTTGCAAAGTCTTCTGATTTTGACTGACAAACTGAAATAAATGAACACTAAAAGTTACTAATACAGTAGTTTTCTTATAGATTAAAATCATTGTGAACAAAATCCTCTATATCCTCAAACCAAATGTCAGCAAAGATGCAGCTCAAACATGTTTTTTCTGCTGTGCTATAATCATGACTGATGCACCACAACACAAGCATCTTTAGAAGCAAATGCAATTAGTATCAACTGGCAGCAGTTACTTGTCAATGTGGTTTAATGCATATTGGATATATATAAAGCGCATTATGTAAAACCAGTACAAGCGAACAAGCCATTTTCTATCAGGCTTCATAGAGCATTAGTGTCTGCATGTGATTCACTCACAACAAAACCTTAATTGAATCAAACATGAAGGCTTTGACTGAATCCAGAGACCAGAAAAATGAAACAAAGCAGCACAACCTGGAAACCACATAAAGACAGCAGAACCTCTACTGCATCGCTGTCGATCGGAAAACCAAAACACAACATTTACATCAGGACATCTCTATCTCTGCCTTCTGCTTTCAGCCTGTTTGCTTTCAAACTGCAGCCACATGTCACCACCTTGTGGCAGGATAACGTTTTGTGTTTTCAATCTAAGATCATCAGAAAAAAATATCAATTATCTTCGTAGTTGAGGATCTACTTGGATACCATACCTTAGCAACTTTATTTATGAAGCACCTGTCTACACCGGCAGGACCAAAGTGCTGTACATTTTACATTATACATATTAATATACAGACACAATAAAACAAAGTGAAACCTCTCAGATTGTGCCAAAAGCCAAAGAAAAAAGATGGGTCTTAAGAAGATACTTTAAAACAGCGAGTGAAGAGGCCTGTCTTATGCCCAAAGGAATAGAATAGAATAGAATAGAATAGAATAGAATAGAATAGAATAGAATAGAATAGAATAGAATAGAATAGAATAGAAAATTCCTTTATTGTTAAATTCTGGTGTTTACAGCAGCAAAATATTATAGAAAAAAATGGTCATTTAACTATGGACCTTAGAAAAAGTATAAGAATAACATAATAGTGAAGAGTTAAAAAATCAACAAATAGAATACTGTAAAGTGTTTTAACAATATAAAAACTGCACCTGGAGAATAAATATACAGCTATGGACATTTTTACAGTAATGGATGTTTGAAAAATATCAGCAACATCAGAGATGTGCAAAATGACAGCAGCATGTTATTTAACTGATTAAGACAGAAACTGTGCAAAATCAGCATGAATGTAACATCTTATTAAAGTTGTTGGGAACAGTGGTGGCTATAAAGTCTTCCAGCTGCTTGGAGGAAGGATCTGTGATAACGCTCCCTGGTGCATTTAGGGTGCAGCAGTCTGTCACTGAAGGAGCTCTCCAGTTCTGCAACAGCTTCCTGCTTGGGATGTGAAACATTATCCAATAGAGATGTTAATTTAGTTAGGTCATTTTGTTTTTCTACCTCCTGCACTGAGTCCAGAGAGCATCCAATCACAGAGCTGGCCTTCCTGATCAGCTTATCCAGCCGTTTTCTCTCAGCTACAGATAAGCCAGTGCTCCAACAGACAGCTCCATAGAAGATGGCTAATGCCACAACAGATTCATAGAGGGTATGTAGGAGTGCCTAGCCTTGTGAGACCATCCTGACCTCCTGAGCTTTCAAGATTTCACTCACTAATCAGTCTGGAGACTCTCCGTTGAAGAAAATTTGGAGCCGTTCACCAAACAAACATCCAATCAGCGTTGGCTTTGAGGCGGGTTGAGGTGTGACGCAACGAGAAGCGCGACAGTTCAGTCTAAAGATCATGGCGGCTGCAGCCGTTGAAACTAGCGTTAGAGTGGCTATCGAGCAAGTTTTATTGGAACTACAGAGTATTTCTACACTGAAAGAAGAGCAAAACACTGCTCTGGAGGCTTTTGTCAGAGGAAAAGATGTTTTTGCTCTTCTCCCGACTGGTTTCGGCAAGAGTAGCCTGGCTGTTAGTACGTCATATGCTTCGTTGATCTGATTGGTTTATTTGGCCCGTCTATCACCAACATAGGCCAATCAGCTAACCAGTATTTTCGCCCCTTCCCAAAATTACTTCAACCGAAGGTTTCGAGATGGATATGCGGAGCAAATCCATCTGGAGGAGTCAGGTTAAGGAGTGCCACCTGCACTCTGACCTCAGTGTTGTGAGTCCAGTTTGTTAGTCAGGCCAACACCTAGGTACTTATAAGAGTGCATTATTTCAATGTTCATTAAGATAGCATGGCCCCCTCTTTGTCCTGGGCACCTTAGAAGCAACTGATCAGCTGACCTTAGGGAACAGGAGGGTGTGTAAGAATGTAACAGCTCAGACAGATAGAGAGGGGCAAGGTCATTTAGAGCTTTAAAAATAAATAAAAGGATTTTAAAATGAATCCTAAACTCTACTGGCAACCAGTGTAAGGAAGCTAAAATAGGGGAAATATGGTCAAATTATCATGTACATGTTAAATGACATGCAGCAGCATTTTGTACCCTCTGAAGCTGGGAATTAAATAAATCATTTACTCCTATATAACGTGTATTACAGTAATCCAGCCATTTGAACACTAATGCACAAATCACTGTTTCAAAATGCTTTCTGGTAAGAAAGGGGTTTACTTTGGCTAACTGCCTTAAGTGGAAACAAATAGATTTTACAACTTAGGACAACATAGATTTTACAACTTAGACTTACGACCAGCATCTATCTTGACCCTTGTATTTGTAACAACCGGCTTGACATACTGGGCCAAAGAGCGAAGATTGGTCAGGTAATCTACTGTGGATTTGCCAAAAATCACTACCTCTGTCTTATCTTCATTAAGTTTCAAGAAATTTAGAGCCACCCAGGCCTTCAACTCTTCCAGACATACAGAGACCCAAGAGAGGTTGATGTGTTTTAAAAGATAAAGTACCGGTAAAGATAAATGTTATTCATTTGCTTCTATGTTAAATCATTTGTGGTTTAAGCCTTCCTAAGTTTTATTAGTGGAGATTTGATCCTTGTTTAAAGATGAAATATAACAACAGTCTCATTGGAAAGGACCTCATGGGGTTAAAATATTCCCACTTCTTTAGTATAGAGATTTTTTTCCCCCTGTGGTTTAAACACATCAACACCATCATTGATGAAAGTAGATCGGAGAGGAAGGGAGCTGACTGAGCTTTCTAATTGCCTCATCCGTCCTTAATGTGCATTTAATTTTTCCAAAGTATCCACAATGACCTTCACTGAAAAATAAGCTTCAATTGGATCACTGGAGCAGCAGAAAATTATGCTCCTAAAGTTTCTTATGGAAAACAAGGGCAAATGAGCCAAACAAATGTAGGAGTTTAGTGTTGGGCCGACGTGGGCTGTAGAACACATCTTAAACAGAACTGAAACTCATCAGTTTTATTTCCGTTAGGCTTTTGTGATGTTAGAGTGACAATGTACACTATGTCTACATATTAAGTGTGTAGAAAAATAATCTACAGTTCTTGCAAAGAAAACTCTAGAAAGGCTGGTCTGTATTTGTGTTCAGTCTCCTATAATCTGACTAATCTTTATAAAATAAAAAAAGAAGAGAGTAGTTGAAATGTGATGTCTTATGAAAGAGCTTAATGGTTGTGAATACTTCTGCAAAGTGTCACATTTGTCAGTTTAATCACATGTCTAGTTATATAAATAAAGACTTACAAGAGAGAGCAGCTGCGTGAACATAAGAACAAATTTAGAAAGGGGAAAAAACAGATATGTGTTGCTTTTTAACAACTCAAGGGTCCGATTTATATTGACCCAAAACACATTTCTACCTTCCGCTCCGAAGCTTTTGATAACTGATGTTGTGCTAAAAAAGCTTTATTTTGTTTCCCTTTTATGTTTAGTTTATTTATAAGGCAAATTGATGAGGTACTTAAACATGTCATTTGCTGAAAGAGTAATTTACTTATAGGAGTAATAAAAAAAAACTATGTACAAGAAATATGAACATTTTACAATATTAATTTTTACATAATAAAATACTCATTTACGACTGTTTGCCATTTACACTTCATTTTTTAATGGGCAACAAATGCCTTTAAATGTAACTGAAATATCAAGACTTTATCTAGCAGCTGAAACTTCATAAAATGACTTGAAAATTGTTTATTATGAACAGAGAACAAGCTTTCCGCTAAACATAGAACAAATTTAAGGCCTCTATTATTTATCAAGAGCAATGAATGCTGTGCAAACATCTGCAGCTGGCAAGCAGCAGTTTCTTAATAAAAGAAGTCAAAATTTCTTTTATTAAGTGTATTTACCCTTAATTTGAGTATTGAATAAAATGATCTGCCAATAGAAGGATTATATTTACCCTAAAAAAAGATAATTAGATATTATGCACTTGAAATAAGAGACTGCAGTTGATTTTTATTTATTTAAATAAAAATTGTCTTGTTCCATTGGCAAAGGGTCTCAGCTCTTCAATTGAAGAAAACATTGACTTATTTTAAGAAAAAAATACCCTTTTAGATTTCTTTTTCCCAATGTTGTCTTAGCTCTAATTATTTTATCTGTGGAGTTTCCAGGACTGTCAGCATCTTCAATATCACTGTGTGTATGAATAGAGACAGTATGTATCGTTGGAAAGTACCCTATGAGATCTACATGTCTTTAGGCCAGAGGTTGTTTATTAGTCTTTAGCCAAGTCCCTGGACTTCCAGCTAAAGGAAATAGTCGTGCTAGCAGCCCGGGGATTTGCCCTGTGGCCTGAAAAAAACAACAATGACCTGTCTGAACTTAAAGTGCATCCATCACTTTAACCACATTTGCAGAAGTGAAGCCACAGTGTATATTTTCATATGTATAAAACTTTATCACCACATTTTAATGACTAAAATAATTTTATTTTAACCATATAAGGTGTATAAATGTTCTTAAAATGACAGTGAAACTCCTTAAAAATAATTTAATGTACTTGTTTGTTTATTAAATGTACGACATTTCTAAATATGGGTCTGTTTTTTCCCCCACAATATGTGGTTTAAAAAGACTTTGACCGAATAGTGGAAAAGAGTTTTGTGTTGGTTTTCCCACTGCAGGTTCATGGCCTGGCAGGAGATGAACATGGGAATTAAGGATGACAAGTGTGTACAGGGGTTTTGTTATCCTCATACAAATACCAAGTGGTGCTGGGCAATAAAATGATTTAGAAGATTTGATAAGAATTTGCACAATTTTCTGGTTTTATTCAAACACGTTTAAACTTTTAAGCCATACTGCTGATGGCAATTAAACATTACTAGGGATGTACACAGATAGACACTAGGTGGTGCTAGAGAACCTGCATTTTTTCCCCTCTGGACAAAAAAGTATTTGTGCCATTGTACCATGTAAATACCATTTATGAATTCAAAAGCCTATTAAACCCAGAGTCTAGATCTTTGTAATTTTGCTTAGACATGTAGCATCAGCTCATTAGATCCTTGCCCTGGTGAAGAGCAACTAAACGAGTGTATTTACCTCCTTCACCAATCGGCTAGTTAATTGCATAAACGTCTTTAATGGCCTCGGCCAGGTGCCAAGAAAAGGTTTAAAATGCAACTCTTTAATTCCATTAGAAAAAAATGTAATGCTTTTTATAGATGTCATTGTTTATGTGCTGTAATGGTCCCTGTATGGAACATCCATTTGTCCTTTTCTATGACTACTACTGCACACAGGTTACCTTTTGTCTCTTAAACATTTAATTTAAAAGCAAACATAAGGCCAAATGATCACAATTTGTAAAAAATACATTTTAATAAGCTTCTATTCATTTCAAGTGGGGCGTGTAGATTAAGCTGCATTTTTAAATTCTGTGTTTATCTAGTGCTGCAAAAAAAATTACCTGAAAATCTAAGCATAAAAATAAGATGATCTGTCAGTGGAATAAGAGGTTTTAACCTTAAAATAAGATAATCGGATATTATGTGCTAGAAATAAGATAATAGATTTGTGTTGTTTGATATTTGACATATAAATCTTCAGTTCATCTGCAATTGTCATATATACCCAATAAACCTAAAGATATTCAGGAATCCTGGATTTAGTTATTTATTTAATTGACACCAGTGTCGCTTTGGTACCTATGGATTGCAGAAGATCGTTAAGACGTCAGCATTAGGCATGTTTGGCTGTTGGTGGTCCCATGCGACGTATAAGGTGCCCTTTTTCCAACCTGAGCACCTGCCCTATAAAAATGTCTGTGCACACCACTGAACATTACTATACGGAGGATACAGAACTAGCACTGGAATGATTATTAATTATTGAAATAATCCTCAACTAATCAAATTGAATTGTTACCAAAAGTAATAATGGACATTAAAAGATACCATTTGGTGAAATAATTACATACTTACAACTTTATTTAAGGCAAAACTTTACAAAACATATATACATTTTACATTGAAGGTTCAAAAACTTCATTTTAAGCAAATAAAATTACATGTTTGTAAAATGCATCTGTCTAACATTTTGGCCATTTACAATTTATTCAAAATGCACAATAATTTTTGTAATTATGATATTTGTTTATTTTAAAATGTTAATGATTTGAAGTAATTTTTTAAGTCAATAGATTAAATTATTAATATTAAACATCTGGAAGTGGGCCAGGGGCATTACTAATTGAACGCTCCTCATAACTTAGAAATTAGAATTTTAACTGACAATCATTTTACATTAATAACCAAAATTGTTCATTGCTGGAAAAATAAACCATGTTTTTGTCAATATGATTCAGCTTTAGTGTCAAACAGTCTGAGCGAGGTTAAAAATTTATTCACAAACTTAGAATTCTTATTTCAAAAACTTCTATAGAAGAAATATTGATCTTCTGATTGAAATTTGATTTCTCTAGAGTTGCAGCATTCACAGAATATTTATATATAAGGAACAAAACAGGCACCTGGTACAGCGTATTCAAATGCCTCTTTTGCAAACTGAAATTTGCATTTCCATTTTAAATTGTCCGTATTAATGTGTTTGTCCTTCTCTTGCAGGACATCGAAGAGTTCAGCTTTGTGACACAGCTGGCCGGCCTCACAGACCACCTCTCTGTGGCCATGAGACTGGCTGTTTCCACCGGGGAAGAGGAGCCTTAGATCCATCGCCTGACTTTTAGGACTTCTTTCATTTTACTGCCATGGAAGAAGGATTAATTAATTAAATGAAACCAGGAAGTTCAGAGTTTACAGATACAGAGCAGCATGGGGAAAGACTGGAGGGACAGCGAGTGGATGAGTAAATCAGTGGAAGAACGCTTTAAAGAAGAAAGACGAAAGTGAAAAGAGAAAATGCTGACAAGGAGAGATACGCTGGGGGAATTCAGAAAGGAAGTCAGAATTTTTATTTTCATCTTCCCGGGTAAATTACCCACAGATTCACACTGAACACTGCGACTTTGAGACTGTTGGCCTTTTCCTCCGACCCTCCTGAGTCCAAAGGGTTTGTTTGGAGTGTTTCATGTAGCCAATGCACACACTTGTTTTATCGGATCTGTCTTAGGACGTAGATAAAGTATGATTCTTATTTTTATGACTCTACCTTCAGGGACAGCTGGATGGTCATTGTTCAGTGTATGAAAGAAGAACATAAAACTGAGGTGAAGCTGCTGACCAGCCTTTACAGTGACCATCTGTGACCTTGTGTTGTGTTTCTTCCTTCCCTGAAAGTTTTCGGTCAGTTTAGCTGTTGGTCGTCTTCTGCGCTGACCCCCCTCACATCATTCCCAAAACCTCAACAAGTGTCTTTTTTTCTTACCAACTAAGCTCACTAAAACAAGAAAAGAAATGAGTTTCTATTACAGACGCTCCACTTTTTATAAAATGTATAATGCCTGTTTAATATGAAATTATGTTTCTAAGGGACGGTAAAGGTTGGATTCAATGTGATGCTCTCAGCATGTTCTTTAGATATTATTAGGATGAATTTGAGGAGAGTTTTTTTCTTTTTTTGATAAAGCTCCATTGATGCATGAAGGTTAAAGGTTAACTACACTGTTATAACACCCTGACTTGAGATTGGATGCCTCAAGGTGCATTTTGCCCTGAAACACTCACTGCAGTATACTATTGTGCATGTTGAAAACAAAGAAAGGAGTACAAATGAAGAACGGGAGTTAGATAACAAAAGCACACAACCCCACTTTCTGCAGAAGATAACAGTTTGTAGGAAACCCTAATAGCAATCATCATCATTATGACTGTCCCCAATAGAAAATGGCTTTGTGATTAGTTAGAAATCTGTGAAGCTGCATTGCTTTATTTTCAATTATTTGTCACATAGATTTGTCCGCTCATTAACCACATTTCTATATAGGACAAAGATAACCCTGGTTAACACACACACACAAAAAAAATGTTTTCTAAATTATTGAGTCTATTTATTATAGAAGTGCAACAACTGTATTCAAGTGTTGGAGGTCAAAACAGGTTTATATCCATGTATAGGAGTACTGATCTATTATCTTTAATTTAGACACATTTAAAGGGCTAGAAGCTAAAGCGGCCTGTTATAAATTCAAGACTTTGACTAGACCCACTATAAAATCATCATTGATCATTGTGTGACCCATTCCGAGGTTGATATCACTCACCATCGGCCCTGTTTTTAATTCAGTGTTTAACATCGATCAGGTTTTATCAGAAGGGGAGGGGACAAATGTTTCAGGTCTTATAATCACAAAATACCCTTTAGCTGGTTAATCCCTCACTACAGTTCATGACCATTTTCAGGGGAAGGTTTTTACTTTTATTTAAGTCTACTTGTGAATAATTCCAACAGGAAAAGACTCCTAAACTTGAAGGATGAGCTTATGTTTTTTTTTTTGACACACGCCAGGGAACTTTATGACCTTTAGGTTCTTTTCTATAGCTGCCTTCAAACCTGGCACGAATATGACAAATCAAAACGCACGTAGACAAGCCTCCTATCTGATGTTAGGGACAGATTTTAATGATAAATGACACTTGTTATGATAATAATTAAATATGGATAGCGGACCGTCCCCATTAGTTCCAATCCTCCTCATGCTAAACAATGTTTACAGTCATTTTTAAGCACCAACCTTCTTCTGAGTCACTCCAGGGGAGTCCCCAGACTGTAAACTGTTGTAAAAACACACAATTATAGACAGGTTGCAGAACTGTGGCCCCCTGGGTATAACAGCATCTGAATGAGTCAGAAACATACCAGGTGTTGTGTATGATAGTTCTTGTTTTACAGTGAGTCCAGAGGTCACCTGGCAGCTCGGCCACGCTCCGTCTCTTTATGACTCACATATTGTAATAATGAAGAAAATACTATTTTTCTGCGAAATGGTTTGTTTCATATTTTCTGATTCACTAATTGTGTGGTAATGTACAGGTTGTTTTTTCTCTGATCCCAGAAAGGTTCTCTTCATTTCCTTAGAATTGCAGTCTTTAAAAAGGGTGAAAACCTGTTTCTTTCATGATTAGGCTTTTAATGTCAGGAAATTAGAATGCTGCTGCATGTGTTACCACAGTTTAAAATATTTAAACGCTTTGATATACAAGAATTGTTTAATGACACATACATTTGAGGCGTCCTGGTTGTTTGGCTGCAAAGCAAATCCATATCATCACCCCTACACCACCGTGCTTGCCAGTTTGTATTAGGGCATTTTTATGGATATGCTTTTTTTTCCCTCCCTTTTCTCACTACATGCCACCGTGCATTATGGCCAGACGTCTCTAATTTTGTCATCTAAGTCACAGCGGCTTATTTCTTTCAGAAAGAGGACGCTATCTCCTGGTAAGCCACCCAAAAAAGCCACTTTTTGGATTTTTACCATCATTTCAATACTTTTAACATGATAACACGAGCTAGCTGGGGGCTGTAAAAGCTGAAGTTTGTGTGAGCAGCAAAAGTGATTCTCTAAATCTATTTTATAATCTTTTTTTTCCCGCTTTCGCATTGCGTGTGCTTCATAGCAGCTAACTGCCAGAGCTCCTGCTTTTACAGAGGGGACGTATTAATCCAGTGCATTATTATTATGACCCGAAGCTTGCTGGTTTCCTTCAGAAAACCAGCAGCAATTGTATACGTTGTTTTCATACTGAGCTTTATTCAGTTTTGATTCTTCTTTTTTTAATAACTCAAGACTGGGTGGAATGTTTACACTTTAGATTAGACTAAAACAAAATATTTGTAAAAACCAGCTCATATTTTTCATTTCTTAATATGGAAGACCCAAGAATAAGGAAGAGGGTGTACTTTTTATTTTAAAGGTATAGTTCAGGATTTTCTTTTTGTGGGTGGATCATCAAAATAAGTGGTCCTCCTAATTGTCAGTCATTCTGGTGATATGTTTACGCAAGGCCGTCTTACGTGCTCTTCCCAATTTTCACTTACCGGTGAGTCTGACATAGTGGAAAAATTGTGACCCTGCCTATGAAAACCCAGCTAAAGTCATTTTTTGGTGAATCTCAACTTAATGTATAAAACCATTCTACACAATGTTAAGAATGTATTCTGAAAAATTCAGATTGATATCTCTAAAATTCACAGAGTAGGGATATCAATCTGAATTTTTCAGAATACATTCTTAACATGCAAACTGCAACTTTTAAACAAAGCGTACACAAGAAGAAATGGGCTTGTGCATGCTCTCGCACGCGTTTAATAGGCATTCCCTGCCGGGAGCAGGTACAGGGTTGTGCATGTGCTTTTTTTTGTTTTTTTGAGTGGAGAGGGCAGGTCTTTTAAAAAAATTCGCAAAAAATCCTGCACTATACCTTTAACTAAGGCAATGTAAATTAAAAACTTCTACCGTGTGAACTCCTGTGATTAATAAAATACTGGCTGGCCTATTTAAGAATTTTAAAAATTCATATTCATTACGTTTTTTTTTTTTTCAGTTTCTGTTTATATGAAATAAACAAACTAAAAAAAGTAGTACTGATTAATTGAAATAACAAAAGTGACACAATGCCACCATTTAAATAAAAGTTAAAGATATTACGTTATTTGTTTAGTATTCAAACTATCTTGAAATTCATACATTTCTAAAAACATTTTTGTTCAGTATTAATGCAGAGAAGAAGTGAGATAGGGCCACAACATTTAGCAACCAAGTGTTAGTTATATGTAGAAATGATAAATAACAGCATCAAAACAAAGATGAAGAAAAACTGAGCTACTCTTTGAGCGCAGTTCAATGTCCAGCATTATGGCAGATTGCTTATTATGTTAAAATAGAGGTATATTTTAATTTTGTTTGCTGGGCAGAAAAAAAAGCCCTTTTTGGTTGAAAGCAAAACACTGGTTTACTTTAAATCCACATCTCCATCCTTAGTCACAAGGTTACACGATTTAGCATCCAAATTCAAGGCTTTTTGATTTAATTATATTTTAATCTTTTTTTTTCTTTCTTCAGTCCAAATGTATGAAATTTTAAAGACTGACTACAACTGACTGCTGACAACATTTGTTGCCAAAGTCTCAGTATTATTATTTAGTGTAATAGTGATTCTTTCGTAGAATTATTTCCTATTTTTTTCTAACAGATTTGCATCAATTTAGCTTGCACATTATTAGAAATAACACTCAGTCAAAAAAATGTCTAATGACTTTATTGTATGATCATTAATTATATATAAGGAATTAATGCTTATTTATTTTCAGATGTATATTTTAAGACATTAAATCTAATCTAAATTTTGATTTTAAACGGAAATATAACAGATAAAGCGTAATTTCATCTGCATACATGGATATCAGAGCCTAAGAAATGGGAAAGAAAACCATTCCCTGTTGCATATACAGTAGCTGTTGGTTACGGTTCAAGTGTGGAGTTGTGAGCTGCCAGATGTACAATAGCTGTCTCATTTCAGGTATAGCTTTGTTTTTTTGTTTTAGTATTTTGCAGGTCCGTGTTTAATATAAAAACATTCACAAAAGTTTGAATTGTTTGACGGTTAACTTGTAACAATTTATAAAAATCTAATTTAAAAATGCCATTTATGATCAAACGAAAAACACTGCTGTGTAAGGGTGCTGTCCGAATCAGATAAGTCGGACTCTTGACAGTCAGGATGTTTGATGCATTGCAACTTTGTCTTTCTTCTTTCGATGTGGAATCCAATCAAACTGACTTACATCTAGTAGATATTGCTGTTAGTTCTGCTCATGACAATCAGGCAACTGGAATTAGCCATTCATAGTCCCTGCATAATTGCTTAAAAGCCACAGCGGGGCAGAAATGTCCAGAAGTCTAACGTGTCCTTGTGGAAGATGGTGACTTAAGTTGTAGTTTTGAAAGACATACATGGAGGTTTAACATTGGCACTTACACAGTGATTTAATAAGGCTTAATCTCCACAATCATAGAGATCAGGTCTCTGATAGCATGCCTGAGAAAAATGGGTTTTTTGATTAAAATGTGCCCTTTTTCATGTCAACATAAGATACAGTTAGGAGTTCATCTCTAAGCTTGCATACCTGCATGTACTGTAATAACGCTTTACGCTTGTAGTCTCCGTGCAATTTATGCCTCACTTTGCTATCCTTTTCTGGTTTGACTTTTCTATGATTTTATGTTTTTTAAATAATTTTTTGTCTTTGGTGGGGATTGTCTATCTATGGGAATGTCTAACTTGGTCTCCGTAAACGAAAGAGATCAGTTAGTTTTCTCTTGCTGATCTTCATCAACAAACTGCTTATTTTCTTCTGCTTTTCTAAGATTAAAAAAAAAGAACATTCCCTTTACTTTGTGTGTTGTCTTAATTTGAGCATTCTGAACTCTGAATTTGAGGGGTTGTGGGCGATTATGAGTGGAAATAATTGTTCAGTGTAGGAGCCACCCATGACATTAACTCTGAAATAAGGAAGTGGTAAATGGACCACAGTATAAACAAAGGGAGAGGGCGTTTTAAAGTTGTTTAGGTCTTTATTTCCTCTTTTTTAATGTCAATGAATATAAATACTACTCTATCTGGTGCACACCGGACACTCTGTCTAAATGTCTCTTTCAAGACGAAAACCTTTTTTTTTCTTGATGACGAAATGAAAGAGGAAAGCAGAGGTTCTGCTTTTCATTAACGAGGGAGACATCTAGCTATTTAAATTTACACTTTGTGAAACTCCCTTTACAGTGAAACTCTGGTCCCTTACTCAACCACAATAAAACATTAAGCACTTTTAACCAATGGAAGGTCAAAGTGGTTGACCTGAAAATATTGCACAGCTGTTAAAAAGAAATAGAGGATTTGTCCAAACATAAATAAGAACATCCAGATAGAAACAAGTAAGACATTAGTAGAGAACAGACAGGATTTAGTGCAATATATCTGGTAAACATATTTGCATTGAATTAGGCTATGCCTGGCAATAATGGATGACTTGTGCATTAGAGACAGGATTCTTGGCAATTTGTCATCTGGTATGGTCTCTCCCAAGTCCTCCTCCCAAAGTAACTTAATCGAGTCCATAGTTTGTGGGCGTAGTAGTGTAATTTGGATGTAGTTAAAAGAAACTTCCCTCTTCACACTAGGAAAAAGATGTCTAAAGATGAACGACCAGGATAGAGGGGAAAAGCTACAGACTTGTTGGTTTTGGAGAACAAACTTATCTGAGATCTGCTCCAAAGAGGCAAAAATGTTAAACGTTTTTTAAAAATGTTGGAATGTCAAATTTTGCACTGATTTGATAATTTCTACAAAATGCTCAAAAAAGGTGAATAATAATTCAGAAGGACTCCTTTCAGTTTTTACCTGAACAAGCAAGACTTCATTTCAACTATCAAATTTGAAGAGTTGGTTCATCAATGCTTAAAATAGCTGCTAAAAACAATCTGAGAATATTATTTACAACAAAAATAGAGGTTTACATTCATATTCTGCTCATGCAACTTTAAAAAGTAAAATATAATAAATACTATTAGATTAGAAAGAATTACAATTGATTTAAACATGTCACACCTGCAAAGGTTATAACTAGTGTTTTTAAAAGGTAGAAATGTTGAGAGGAAAGAAACTGAAATGACAGATATTACAGCTACATATTATAGGACAGTTCCTAATACTGCTCGATGCACATTGGAGGTTGTTTTAGTTGTCTGAATGTCATAAAATGTGTAGGAAACAAGCTGTATGATCTATAGTTAATTCTAACAAAACCAGTGATGTTTTTTTTTTCTTCTACAAAAAAAAAAAAACAACAACTTCGGTCTAAAAACACCAATAATCTGACACTGTTTTTATACTGTCACTGTGTTCTGAAAGAACAAAAAAATATATAATAGAAGTAGGGGCAGACTTAAAGAAAACACTGCAAAGTGAAGTCATACAGCTATGTGAAAGAGTGGGAGTTTCATGTGAAACTTCCACTTTGAGTCATAATAAAAGTTCAAGAAGAGCAAAGTTGCAACCTTACAAGAATATTGTTAAAATAATACAAAGTTTTAACACTAGTAGAACTTTATTGTTATTACCATCATTATCTTCTCAATGAGGAGATGAGGAGTTCTGCATGGTGCATGGTGGTCTCAAAAGTCCACAGTAACAACACACATAGGGCGCACCGCACCAAAGGGCTCGGCGCACATTTTGAAGGAAAAATAAAGACGTTTATATGCGCCTTAAAGTCGTGAAAATACGGTACATTTAGCATCTAGTAAAGTTATTATCAGTTTAACTGACCAGATGATTGATCAGGCAGTTAAAGGGTCTAATGATGTCAATTTATTCTTGAACTACCAGGACTTTTTTCTTGTAGACATAATATTAGGGTGTGCACACCTTAAAATCAATAAGTTGTTGAATATATTAAGATTTAATTGAAATAAAGTAAACTATACCTGACATTTGCCTATTTACATCTTAAGCTAGAGTTGAAGCTGGCACCAAGTTTTATAAAATTAACAACACTTAGTAGATAAGTTCTTGCAGCTAGTGATAAACAAGCTTGACTAGTGATCTGAAAATAATTCTCTTGTTGGGTTTTTTTTTTTTTTTGATTGTACAATCCAAAGCTGAAATTCCCTCAAATCTGTAATAGCAGTCCCTTTGCATACAATTAAACTACTGTTATTTTAAAGCTTGTATAAAAATGTCCCCAAAATAACAAAATTTTTTAAAGAAAAAAAAAAAAAGAGAGCAACATTCACAACAAAAGCATTCTTTTCCTTTTTCTTCTTATTATTTTTTTTATTATTAAGCTATTTTTCTTTTAAATATTATGTTTTTTCATTTTCTGGAATTTCTTGCATCATTCTAAATCATTGTGTTCAATAAACAAAGACATCATTATTTCTTAAATTCTTGACTGTTTCAAACACTTATTTTTATGCAATATTTAATTTTAAAGCCAAATGATCTATCCACAGGTTCTGCCACTGAGTCTGTTCAGTCAGCAATAACCTTGTTATTTTCATTTCAT